TTCTTCTGTACACTGGTCCAGTAGTACTAAAGAATATTCTTCCAACACCATTTTACAACAACTTCCAATCACTGTCGGTTAGTATATATCTGATGCTTTCCTCAACCCTCTGTGCCCATTACTGTGACTATGCTGATAACCTGGTTAGGTACTATTGAATAATAGGAACCATTTTTTTATTATTTTTTGTCTCTTTTCTTTTAATCAAACAATTATTTGTATTGGTCATGTAAGGGTCATATATTAACTGAACTTCTAATGTTGTGGGTGAGTGCTGTCCATACTAATTAGCAGCTTTGCAGAAGTAGATAGATGCGGGTCCAAAATTAAATTCAGCTCTGCAGAAACTTCCTGTCTGAAGAGAGGTGTTAAAACTGAACACAGAACACAGAAAGATGTATACTTTGTTGTTGGGCAGAGAATTCATAGAAAAAGAGGAAGTATGCCGAAGGGGCGGCCAATGGAGGACTGAACAATGACTGACAAGTGACGTTACACCAAAACTCCACCTGTTAAGATAGGTGGTGTATATATGCTGAAGTCAGGAAATGTATGCGAGTTGCGAACCTCTTGAATGTAATTCTTGTATTGCATTGGGGTAATGTAACCCAGAGCTCTGTCATCGAATTATTTATTTGTATCCAATAAATTGTTACGATTTTTGACATTGAAGAAAAACCTCTCCAGACCTTTTCTCTTGAACACGCATGGAATAGAGATTGATATTCCAACAATTTGGTGACCTCCGACGTGGAAAAGGGGGAGAAGAAGTTATTGATCTGTCGTATTGCATTGACATCATCGGCGCCGAAAAAATAAGGTAAGCAGAAAACCTGTTAAATCGAATTTCTGCAATTGGCCTAATCTAAATTAAATGATGTCATGTGATTTGTAGGATTGATGTAGTTAAAAGTATAAGCATTTGAATAATTTGATGAATTTAAATGTATATTTGCTTTAAGTGTTAACTGGTTTGTAAATATTAGGATACGTTAGTATAGAGTTGTGGGGCAGCCAGGGGTAACTGTCGTTAGTATAGAGTTGTGGGGCAGCCAGGGGTAACTGTCGTTAGTATAGAGTTGTGGGGCAACCAGGGGTAACTGCCGCTTCGGGTATTATTACGGTTTTGTCATATGGCATTCACTAAGTAAATCAGAACATAAGTTGATACACTTTGACTGTTTTTGCTTGTTTGGTAGAAGGAAAGATCAGACGAGGTCTGTGCTTCTTACACGGAATTGAATAAAATACCATCCTAGGGTGTATTGTTCAGGTGACTACCGAGTACTGAATACTGTGATTTTACCTGGACAGGTGTTTGACGAATCACCTGAATTTTTTGGACTCTAAGGGCGGGAGCCCAGCAGACGAACCGACGGGGGGTCCCGAACAGTCCGGGTGCAAATCCCAACGTTTTAGTAGGTCCAAGCGTTAAAGACAGCTATAGGGTCAGATTGTAAATAATCTAAAAAATAGGGACAGTTTAGTCGCCGAGGTTGTGACTGTGTGTGGATAATTTGCTTCACTGAGGTTGTGACGCTGTAGAAAATACAGAGAAAAGTCGACTCTGTTAAGGTGTGGTCGATTAGACAGATTAGTCTGTTGCGTTAGTAACTAACAGTTGAAATAAGCATAGTGTACAGATATTTAGCCGCTGTATATAAGCGTATATGATATTCAATGAAATGTCATTTAGAAGAATTTTGAGAAACAGAGAATTTGAGTTTTACAAAGTTAATAACATAGCAAAAGGGGGCCATAACGATGTTGTGGCAGTAAGAAATGGAAAAAAATTGTTGGAATTTGTAATGTGGCATGATTTTGGCATTTGTTGGAACGGCTGTAGAAAGACAGATGAGGGTAGAAAAAAGAGGAAGTGCTCAGGCAGACAATCTTAGACAGACTGACAACAAAAAGGAAGTCAGAAAAAAGAAGCCACTCCTTTTCATGAGGAAGAAGCAGTTGAAGTAGGGGCAGAAGAGAGTAAATTTTATTAAAAGAGTATATAAAATTGTTTTGATTAAATAAGGATAGACTGTGATATAATAATTAGGGATATAGTATCAGTTACAAAATAAACAGATCTATTACAAATCGGTATAAAAAAGACAAGTGAAATAAAGAAATAATGGGAAATATGCTTAATACAGTTATATTTGTTGAAATGGAATTTGAAGCTATTTGAATGAATATATTAATAAAGAAATGAATTTACTAAATAGAGGAGGATGACTTAAACAATAGACCAGTAGTTGTTGACTAGAACAATAAGAACAAATAAATTATAAATACTAATAGGAAAAATAAAGAGAAATTAACATACAACATAAAGACCAGCTACTAAAGAAACATTAGAATAAATACATTAGAGGAAAAATGAGGAACATGACTTCGAGATGAGCTGTTAAACAGCAAAGAGATAAAATTGGCATAAGTCTCTGGTCGATGAAGAGAAAAATTAGAAGAAAATGTGACAGTTTAATATTGATCAACTGAAGAGTTAATGAGCAAATATGTAAGGAAGATAAAAAATATGGATAAGAAAAACTTAAAAGCTTAGAATTAAAGAAATCCAAGTTATGGTTTGATAGAAAAAAGAAGAAGATATGTTTAAAATATATTGAAATATGTTTGAAAAATATTATATACATAGAGAGAGAGAAAGACAGAGACATTAAACCGATGAGATAGAAACTAGAAAAATAGTTGCACTTGTAACACTTTGGGGAAGTACAACTTTGAGGAACTGAGATTTGATGTGAGAGGACAAGACTGAGTTTAGGTGCAAAACTAAATAGAATAATAATATTAGTAATAATAATGATTTAAAAAAATTGTTATGGCTTACACTGGCTGTTTTCATCTTTGAAAGTCAACAGCATAAGACTATCTAAGCCATCATCTAGGGTCAAAGAAAAATCATGGACACTTAGTGGATGTGGATGAACAAGATGAAGTGAGTTCAATTTTTCTAAATTTAAAAATGATAAACACCAAGAAAGAAATTGATAATTAAACATTTTATTTCAGATAAAAAAAACAACAACATTTTAAACAAATATGTGGGGTCAATGCCTAATATGAACCATGAGATATAGAAGTAATGTTGAACAATTATACCACAGGGTAGGCCATGTCATAATTTGTGTTTTATGAATAATAACCCAACTTTGTCTTGTTTTTTAGTCTCCACCATTGTAGTGCCCTACAACTTTGCCTGCAGACTAAGCAGACCATAGTGCTGAGTGGATGGGAGTGAAGATGCCAAACTTTACTTAAAACTATTATTGGAGGTCAAATTGATTTTAAACTTAATAAAACCTGTCTCATTGGTTAGACTCTAGAATGTAGTCTCAGTGGCTCACATGGTTCTTGAGTGCATGTTTCCCTAACATCAGAGATACCAAGTTCTGAAGGAAAACTGAGAAGGAGGTGGCAGTGGAGAAGAGCAGTAACTGGTCTCCATGAGACATTATTCCAAAGACGGGTAAGACTCTCGTTGGCCACCGGGAGCGACCTAAGCCAGGAATTTTGTCGCGGAGACTAGGCACCTGTACAGGTAGGCAGGTGTTGAGTGAGATGGTTGTGGAGTGGAGCAGTGATGCTTGAAAGGCCTAGAGCATCCGAGTATTGAGGGGCACTGTGAAAGATCAGTGGTCTCGCTCAGAAATGTGGGCTCCTCCAAACCAGACCACAGCAAACTGCTAAATATGTCTGGAGATCAGACACTCAGAAAAAGGAACTTGTGGGTAAAGTAAGAGGCAGGGTGCTGTCAAGAACCATTTGAGACCATATGATGACTGGTAATATAAAAGAGACAGAATTTATTAAGGTTTTATGAAAATAATAACTAAGAAAAAGACTTAAAGGAAAATATACAATGAATCTCTAAATGTAAAATGTTGAAATGATATTTAACTATTTTTGCAAATTTTTATAGGTTTACTGATACAGGGCAGGAACAGAATATGGGAGGAAGTACAATGTATGGTGGTGACTAAAGAAGAAGAAACAACTATTGGTAACTGAAGAAGTAATTTAAATTATCAATTTTGATGGAATTGATTATTTAAGTAAAGATTTACTAAAAGCAAAATATAATGTTGAATCATCTAAATTAAGATGGGAAATTAAAAACTTGAAAAGGTTGGTAACAGAAAAAATTATTTATGTGTAAAGAAGAAATTGAAACATGAAAAACTGAACTCACGTCATCGGGGAAAAATTAATAGTTCTAATCTGATAAAAGAATTGAAACAGAATAAGAGAGTTTAAGAAAACAGATTTTCTTTCACATGTAACCATGTGAAGAAGTTTAATGATGAAGTCAAAATACAGCTGAAAGAAACGGATGAAAAAATGTAGTGATTTTTAGTTAGCTTATAAAAGTATATAAAAAGTGTATGGGCAACTAGTTGAACCAAAATGACGTAGAACTAATTAGTAGCCAAAAGAAAATCATAAAAATGATTAGAACAAACTAAGTAATAAATAGTTGAGAAAATGAATTATCAAAAGTAGTGTCAAATTCAAAAACTGATTGATTATTAGTGAAATACTTAAATGGAGGATTATAAAATAATAGTGTATGAAGAAATCTGGTCATACTGATAAAAAATGTAAAGTGATTGATTTTTGAATTATCAGAGAGAGTGGTGTTGATTAAGCATGTTGATGAAGTCTTACTTGCAGAAAAAAAGTGGACAACTAATGGATTAGAAGTAAGCAGTTGTTATGACATTTATATGGAACTAGATTTAAAGGAAGTAAATAAAAAATTATAGGTGATTAGATAACACGCCATAATATTGGGACAAGTGATGTCTGGGATAGGTGGAGTCAGATCACTAAATAAATAAGCCATTTCAAATAACTGTAAACTGGTGACTGTAAAAGACATGATAATAAGACTAATATTGATAATAAGACAAAATTATATTTAGAGATATCAGAAACTGCAAGAGAAGAATGAGGGTGAGGTTATAATTGATTATAGAGATATGGGAGAACAGGTGAATAAAAAGATATGTGCTAGTCATGATTGACAGCTATAGTGAATGGCTAGAGGAGTGGCCAGCAAGCAAGGAGTACAGTCAGACAGTGATGAAGTGTTTAATGAACGACGATTTAGAAACAAATAGATGTTGAGTAAGAACTAGATTGGATAATGATAAACACTGAAATAATGAATATTTGAAATTGCAGCAAGTAATGGGCCTAAAGCATGAATTTAGGGATGGTGTAAGACTAATAATTACAGGGAAAGGTAGAGAAAATTGATTCAAAGTTAAACACAATTGGCAAAATTCTGTGCACAGACCAAACTGAATTGGATAAAAATCATGTTGAGGGGTATTAGTTTGTTATGGAACAAAACAATGGAATTAATGACTTTTGCATTGTTTACAGGACTGCAGTTTTGGGGACCTGGTGCAGCTTGGATGTGCAGTGGATCACTTATGTAGAGATTATATAATGACAAATTAACAATCTTATTCCCTATTTCTTCTAAACAGGTTGCTGAAGGTGTGAGGCTGGCCGGATTAACTTGACAGTCAATATAGGGGTGTAAAACGGCCTGGAGCTAGGCCCAGGCCGAAAGGGGGATAAAACACAAAAAGGGGATATCTGATATCTAATTGGAGTGTGTAAGCATGTATTGGTGTGGGAGCTGAACACGCTGCACCACCAATGCATGAGGCCAACTGTATATTAGATACAGGCCAACACAAAAAAGAACCGAAAACCACATTAAATTCTAAAATAGAAAGAGAAACTAAGACTGATTTACTAGCAGATGACAATCTGACAGAAAGTGTGCATGGACGTTTCCCAGAGATGGGTTGCAGCTGGAAGGGCATCCGCTGTGTAAAACATATGTTGGTTAAGTTGACGGTTCATTTCACTGACGGTGGGGACCCCAAATTAATAAAGGGACTAAGCTTTAAAAAAAAAAAAAAAATGAATGAATGAATGAATTGGACAAATTAGACTGGAGAAATTTTAGAAAAATTTAATATTTAAAATTTATTTTAATATTATTTTATTTTACACATTAGTTTTTTTATTTTATTTTTTAGTATTTTTATTCTTTATTTTAAGACACATTTTTTATCTTTTATGTGAAGACATTTTTATATTTTTATTATCTTTCATTTTAAGAAATTTCCATGACTTTTTATCTTTTATTCTAATACCTTTCTAATGCTTTTTAAATCCTTTGTTATTTTAAAGACGTTTGTCATAATCTTTTATTTTAATACATTCAATGCTTTAAAAAAATATATATATATATATTATTTTAAGATGCTTTTGGATCTTTTATTTTGAGACATTTTTAAGATTATTTTATTTTAAACACATCATTATGATTGTAAGATTCTTTTATTTGAAGATTCTTTTATTTGAACACATTTTTAAGGATTATTTTAGTTTGAGCCATTGTTGTTTTTAAATCTTTCATTTAAAGACATTTTAAGATTTTATTTTAAGCCATTGTTGCTTTTGAACCTTTTATTTGAAGAGATTCTTAAGATTTTTATTTTAAGTACATTGTTGTGCTTTTGATTTTCCCATTTAAAGACATTGAAAAAAAAAAAAAAAAGAATCTATATGTTTGAATTTTGGTTTTAAAAATTTGGTGACGAGTTTGAATTGTTAGTTTAATAAACTTGTTATGATTTAGTTCTGAACTTTTCATTTTAATAATTGTCGAGTTTAATCCTACTTTGAAGCTGTTGATTTTTCATCCTAAAACTCAATTGTGATTTTGTTCTTTAATGACTTTAAAATGTTGAAATTCAGTTTGAACTATTAAGGGGGATTATTAATTAGAGCATATCTTTATGGGTGTGGATTTCCTTTTAATAAGATTTTTATTTTTTTGTGTTGGAGTTTTTAAATTTTGTTTGCTGTTTATTATTCTCATTCTTATTCTAATTTTGTTGGGGAAGAAGAAAAAAAATTACCTTTATTGCTAAAGTGTATACGAATGGAAAATTTGAATTATGGGATAATTGGAAGTTAATAAGAGTGTTGGGAGTAATAAGCCTGAATATAGCAAGTATAAATCTTATTAAAAGAATATATCGGAGTGACTTCAAGAGGGAAGAGACGGCACCACCGAAGAGGAGAACCAAGAGTGTGGAAATTATGAACTGAATCCAGAAAAGTTAAAGAAATTGAGTTAAAAGGGGTTTTGGGCATCATCTAACACTGAAAGAGCACTGTGATGTTAGAGATTATTTTGAATAAGAGGTAAAACAAAGATTTAGGCAAAGGCCTGCAGTAATGACAGTTAAAACATTTGTGGGGATTTGATTATCTGTTTTTGTTTTTGTCTGCTCCAATGAGGAGCAGAAAGGGGGATTATTGAATAATAGGAACCATTTTTTATTATTTTTTGTCTCTTTTCTTTTAATCAAACAATTATTTGTATTGGTCATGTAAGGGTCATATATTAAGTGAATTTCTAATGTTGTGGGTGAGTGCTGTGCATACTAATTAGCATTTTTGCAGAAGTAGATAGATGCGGTTCCAAAATTAAATTCAGCTCTGCAGAAACTTCCTGTCTGAAGAAAGGTGTTAAAACTGAACACAGAACATAGAAAGATGTATACTTTGTTGTTGGGCAGAGAATTCATAGAAAAAGAGGAAGTATGCCGAAGGGGCGGCCAATGGAGGACTGAACAATGACTGACAAGTGACGTTACACCAAAACTCCACCTGTTAAGATCAGTGGTGTATATATGCTGAAGTCAGGAAATATATGTTAGTTGCGAACCTCTTGAATGTAATTCTTGTATTGCATTGGGGTAATGTAACCCAGAGCTCTGTCATCGAATTATTCATTTGTATCTAATAAATTGTTACGATTTTTGGCATTGAAGAAAAACCTCTCCAGACCTTTTCTCTTGAACACGCATGGAATTAGCTTGATATTCCAACAGCATCAACAGACTTTGGGTGTGCTTACACTATACTATCCGAACCGTGCCCAGGCCCGTTTCTCAGATCGTTTGAGAAGTGCGAGTGTGCTGAATCGGGCTCAGGAACGGTTCACTTTGCCGGCCCTGGCCCGGTTGGAAGAGGTGGGCATGAGCGTGGTTTACTTGGGCTTGTAGTGTGAGTGCAAAACGCGCCAAAGCCCGAAACTGAAAGCAGGACGTGAGTTTTAAGGGACTGATTCATATGGATCTATTAATCAATCTTACTGTTCAATGAACACAAACTGCCGTAGTTTTATAAAGACACAAACACCTCACTGCACGACAGCTGCGCACCTTCAGCGAACCTCCTCATTCCTGCACCACGAGGGCTTTAAGATTGTTTATGAGCGCAAAAAGTGGTTGATCTGTTCGGCAAAATATCTGACGGCTTGTCATCGCATCCCTAAGGACTGTATGGCGAAATATTTGACTGCATGTCACTGCATAACAAACGACTGAAACGATATAACTAGAGAAATCTCTACTGTGCTGAGCGAGAGCGCTTCCCTACTGAACAACGCAGCACAGCATCAATGACGTAAGCGTGCCCAGGCCTGATTGTGGTGTAAGTGCGGGCCATCGAGGGAGACGGGAGGGGGGACAAGCATGCCTTGGCCTGGTTCGAGGCAACTGTACATAGTGTGAGTATGGCCTATGTGGCACCAGGAGTCATAAGCCCACGCAGAGGAGACTCAGACTCCTTTATAAAATCAATACGTCATTTTTATCTACGGACTGTACGTTACAGTGTACTGAATTTTTTTATTTTTTTATTTCAAAGCATTTTTCCAGAATACGTCAAAAAATGGATGTCCCCAAATATCAGTTAATTTGCTGAAACACAGAGAAGGATTTTTTTTTCAAATAAACCTTAAAATCACCCTAGACTAGATTAAAATGACCCAACAACATTAGCCTCCTAACCTCCCCATATCATGATTGGCATATCATCACTCTGTCTCCTCTCCACCAATCAGCTGGTGTGTGGTGTGCGGTCTGGCGCAAAATGGCTGCTGTCGCGTCATCCAGGTGGATGCTGCACACTGGTGGTGGATGAGGAGATTCCCCCCCCCCCCCCCCCCCCCCCCCCATTGTGTAAAAGCGCTTTGAGTGCCCAGAAAAGCGCTATATAAATGTAAGGAATTATTATTATTATTATTACAACACACAAGGGGAAAGGTACGTGCACATTCCAGCCTTTATGCAGATGCTGTACAGGTATGTCTTATGTCTGCAAGGCAAATATTCAGCTGTTACCCCAGAACTTTTTTTCTGATGTGTTTACCAGTCAGGCACATAAACAAGTATTCATATACTTGAATATATATGAATACATAAAAACATAAATAGTGAATATACACGAATATTAATAGGCCATTAACAGCTTTTTTTCTTTGTCTTATCAATATGATCAAAATTACTTTTATGAGAAACTCTCATAACTATGTGGACTGACACAGTTTTAATTTACTATAACTTCTATGTTAAGCGGCTTTGACACAATTTACGTTGTAAAAGCACTAGATATATAAAGATGAATTGAATTGCATCTGCTTTAATATGTACAGGTTAATGGATTTAACAAAATATGATCTGATTTATTTTACTTTTAATGTGCATCAAAATTACAGTGTGTAGCCAATGTTTCCAGTGTCTTTTCACTTTTCAGCTTTTGATGAGAGTTTTTAAGACTTAATAAAAACTAATTTTTTATTTATTTATTTCAGACCTAATTGAACAGAATGAGGGGAGTAAAGAGGAGGAACATCATGTCAAAACTGAGGAAAAAACTCATTTACAGACTGATGATATTTTGAAAAGGAAAGACAAGAATCGATTCACCTGCATTCAGTGTGGAAGGAGTTTGGCAAACAAAAGCAAACTTAAGATTCACATGAGGATTCACACTGGAGAGAGACCATTCACATGCATTCAGTGTGGGAAGAGTTTTATCCGTTCATCATCCCTTAATGTACACATGATGAGCCACACTGGAGAGAAACCATTCTCTTGCACTCAGTGTGGAAAGAGTTTAGCAAGCAAAAGCAAACTTAAGATTCACATGAGGATTCACACTGGAGAGAGACCATTCACATGCACTCAGTGTGGGAAGAGTTTCAGCCAATCATCATCCCTTAATCAACACATGAGGATCCACACTGGAGAGAAACCATTCACATGCACTCAGTGTGAAAAGAGCTTCAGCCAATCATCACACCTTAATGAACACATGATGATTCACACTGGAAAGAAACCATTCACATGCACTCAGTGTGGGAAGAGTTTCAGCCAATCATCATCCCTTAATCAACACATGATGATTCACACTGGAAAGAAACCATTTACATGCACTCAGTGTAGGAAGAATTTTTATTGCTCATCACACCTTAATAAACACATGAGGATCCACACTGGAGAGAAACCATTCACTTGCACTCAGTGTGGTAAGAGTTTCAGCCGATCATCATCCCTTAATCTACACATGAGGATCCACACTGGAGTGAAACCCTTCACATGCACTCGGTGTGGGAAGAGTTTTACCTGCTCATCACACCTTAATCTACACATGAGGATCCACACTGGAGAGAAACCCTTCACATGCACTCGGTGTGGGAAGAGTTTTAACTGCTCATCCTCCCTTAATCGACACATGAGGATCCACACTGGAGAGAAACCATTCACTTGCACTCAGTGTGAAAAGAGCTTCAGCCAATCATCACACCTTAATGAACACATGATGATTCACACTGGAAGGAAACCATTTACATGCACTCAGTGTAGGAAGAATTTTTACTGCTCATCATACCTTAATAAACACATGAGGATCCACACTAGAGAGAAACCATTCACTTGCACTTAAGCTGCGGTCACACTGGACTTTTATGCCCATAGACTTCCACACTGGAGAGAAACCATTTACATGTACTCAGTGTGGGAAAAGCTTAAACCAATCAGAAAACCTTAATAAACACATGAAGGTCCACTCTGGTGTGAAAGAGTATATGTGCTTTGAGTGTGAGAAGACTTTTATTTCAGCTCCAAAAACTGCACCAAGCGATTCACACTGGAGAGACCGTACAATTGTTCAAACTGTGACAAGAGGTTTAATCAGTAAACACATCTGAAAACACAAAAGAGGATTCACACTGGAGAGAAACGTACAAATCTGATCAGTGTCTACAGAGTTTCGCTCATTCGCAGCAGCTTAAAAACACATGGACAAAAAGTTGCACACATGACATGAATGCAGCAAAACATTTTCTCACAGGATGTTTCATGTCTGAATAATGTTTGAAAAGGCTGAGTAACGGTATACTGTTTTCCTACACTGCAGTAGGTGGGGTTGTAAATGTGTCGCGCTCCTCGCATTTATGTAAACACAATGATGGCGGCTGAGAGAAGTACAGTTTCATAAACATTTGGCAAACAGCACCTCTGCGGCTTGAAATCTCATCTGTTATCCACTCTCCAGTGCGTTCATGTAGCTAGTGTTGTGTTGGATGATGTTATCTGTCTGATTCCCTGAATGAGAAATCCAGGTTGGAGTATGTGGTAAATCGTGACTGGATGCCTGCATTACTCATCAATGGATATATAAAAGTTGTTGTGCTAGCTACTCATGAGTCCTCATGTCAAGACCTCCCATCTCATTGATTCTTTAACCTTATGGTTTTGTTTTGCATTACTTATACCATGTAGTTAAAGTGTTGTTGTGATTTATATCCAAAGTTCTTTATCTTCATTAGTATCCCTAGACATTTGTTGGTTGCATTGATTGATTGTTCTATGAGTTACATTTTATAATAAATCATTTATTATCATATATAATCATATATAAATGTAAGGAATTATTATTATTATTACTGCTGCCGCTGCACTGATCCATCTTTTAATCTCATATTACATTCCTCATGGCAAAAAAAAAAAAATCAGACACTCTATTTGGGGTAAGGACTCTGCCAAACTGGAGGTGGCCACTGTTTTCCATTCAAGCATTATGGTTTCTGACTTAGAGGTGCTGTTTCTTTCTCTGCCATGTCACACTCAGCAGCAAACTGTACCACTGCATGCTGAAGGTCCATGTCCAGAGTACCCGTGGGGTCTTAAAAGCATTGAAAAAGTCTTAAATTTGATAATCTCAAATTAAGGCCTTATAGCCTTGAATTTGGTATACAACATCTTGAATTTTGTTACAAAGGTCTTAATTTTATGCATTTTGTTGCCTTTCCTAGGATTAAGTTCATACCGTAACAAAATGAACTGTTACAAATGTAGGCTATTTTAAAATTAATGCAGCGTAACGTTGAGTGCACCTCTACCTCCACGTTATAGCAGAAATCGCGAAAGTGTGCGCACCCGTCATATGGTTACTTGAGGTGAGGTACAGAACAAGATAGTCACTAGCCCAGTTTGTCGGCTAAAATGGGAAAGTGTCGCTGTGGCCAAGGAATCCGAATTGAGTTTGGGTTAAGCCTGTGCCAGGAAATGACCGCAACGCCTACTGCTTTTGATGCCGGAAATCTTTTAAGCTAATGTTAGAGACAGTGGATGTTACGGCCCTGGACTCCCATATGGGGGGTTGCCAAACACAACGTGTGTATTACTGCTTGTCAGCGCCAACCACCTATTGTGCAGTTCTGTGCACCGGAGGCCTCTTCGGTTACTGAAACAGCTTTACCGATCAATAACAAAGAAGTTTCTACCTTAGAAGAATGACATTTTCTTCTTCTTCCTGTTTTACGGTGGTCGATAACAAAGTTTTTGATGCGTTACTGCCACCTCTTGCTCTGGTTGGTGATGTAGCCAAACAATCATTGGGCTGACACGAGAAACTTGCTTGAATAAAAGATGACAGAAAGATTAGATTAGGGTGTAATTCATTAATGAAAAGTTGTAAAAATATATACAATATAATGCTTATTGCAGAGTATTTCCCTTTACTATAAATAACTATAGTATTTTATTTGTGTAACACCTGGTTTTATTGGATTTTTAGTTTTTGCTGTTATATGACATAATTTGTTTCTGTTTGGTACAACATAATATTTACAGTAAATAACTGAACTGAATCATTTTTCATTGACAGTTTTATTGATCACTAAGATATGATTGACTTGGATTTAAGTTGCTTCGATTTAAATATGAATATTGTAAAATTAGCTTGGGTGTAGCTACACTACTTTTGCCAAGGAGTTTTTAGCTTAGCTTGCTACATTTCCAAGAGGTAAGCTTTTAGTCTAGTTAAGCTGGCAATCTGGCTTTAAGAAAGGCCATTCAACTGAGACTGCCCTGCTCTCGGTCGTGGAGGATCTCAGACTGGCTAAAGCAGACTCTAAATCATCAGTCCTCATCTTTCTGGATTTGTCAGCTGCTTTTGACACTGTAAACCACCAGATCCTGCTATCTACGCTCGAGTCACTGGGCGTTGCGGGCACTGTTATACAATGGTTCAGATCTTACCTCACTGACAGGTCATTCAGGGTGTCTTGGAGGGTAGAGGTGTCCAACCTACAGCATCTAAACAGTGGGGTATCTCAAGGCTCTGTTCTTGGGCCACTTCTCTTCTCCATCTACACAACATCTTTAGGACCAGTCATCCAGAAACATGGATTTTCCTACCACTGCTATGCTGATGATACCCAGCTATACCTCTCTTTTCACCCTGATGATTCCTCGGTTCCAGCTCGCATTTTCAGCCACCCACCTGAATGTTTGGCCACAAAATTCACCAAACTGGATTTCAAAGAAACCCAGCAGATGTTTTCTGTTAATCACATCTCCGTGGTGCTCATTTAAGTTTTTTTGGTCTTGTCCAGTACTGCCTCTGGGGACAGTTTTCTGTATGACTTTCCTTTGTTAGCTTCCTTTACTTTTGTTGCCTCTATTTGTCAGATTCAGGCTGCCATCAATAAAATAATTACATCATTAATAACAATGTTTGTCCTAGTTGAGACAGTGAATAAGTGAAATTTTATTTTATCTCTTTTGTAATGTAATAATGTACATTACATACGTAATTTACATACGTACATTTTTTGAAGACAACATTTTCATTTCCAAAAAGAAAATATTTTCTACATTTTGAAAACTACTGTTTTATTACATGTAAAAGCAGTGCATTCAAACTATTACTTTTGTATAACATGTCTTTATTGAGTATTGAACCCAAAACTTACCCTAGACAGGCTAAGGGAAAAAAAATATAAAAATAAATAAATAATTAAAAAAATGCAAATAAATAAAATAATAAATTACACATATACATATACACATAAAAAATATAATAAATAAATAAATAAAAAAAAATCAAGCACCAATTAACATCCCACAACTTCAGACTTCCGAAGCTTCTTCAATATCTCCGTTTTTTACAAAGTTCAAAAACAATTCCCAGATGTCACAAAATTCAGCGGATTTTTTCCTTATTATATATGTGAGCTTTTCAAGAGCCAAGCATGTTATATGGTTTCTCAACCAAAATCCAATGGAGGGACGATTAACTTTTTTCCAGCATAAAGCAATACGCCTTGCTTGTATTAAACATAAATCAATCAATTGTCTTTCTTTAGTAGACAAGGCACAACTGTCTTCATACATATTCAATATATCAAACTATTACTTTTAATTGAAGTTACTTATATTTTAGTCTGTTACTAAATTTAATCTTTGTCTGTGAAATAGAAAATTAAAGAAGATTATTAATGTAAACTTTGTTACTGGATTATAATTAGGGATAAATTAATGCGTGTGCATTATTATATTATTGGTTTATTATTGAAGATGCATTAATGTGTGACCCTTATATTATCGCTTTATTATTAGTGATGAATTAATGTGTGAGCATTATTCTATTATTGGTTTATTATTAGTGATGCATTCATGCGTGATCCATATTGTTTTTTTGCTTTGTGATTGATTTATTAGATTAGTTTATGATTAGTGATGTAGTCATATGTGAGCGTTATTATAATATTTGTTTATAATCAGTGACTGATGAAATGAGCCTTATATTTATTATAAGTGAGTGATTCATTGATGTGTTAGAATAATGCACGGGCATTATTGTAACTATGGTAGTAAATAATAATATAAAGTGTTGTAATGTATAATAACTGCATTAAAATGTTTGTAGTAAAACTTTAAAGAGTGCTTGGTCAGCTAAGTTAATCTTACCAAATAACGTTATACAACATCTATAACAATCATATAATAATCGTGTTGTAGTAATTAATGTTACTGTAATGGTTATTCATTTAAACCAACTTGTTATAAAAATACTTAGTTTGCAATTGTTGTCCGAATTAATCTGCAACGAAATCTGGTATTACAGTACAAATCTTGAATGGTATAAGGGCTCTGATTGGCCATAGCGTTCATTGTAACTCGGAACATGATTGGCTGTCGTAACCAAGTATAGGGTGAATCTTGGTTCCAGCTTGGGACGTGATTGGCCAGCGTAACCATGAATTAAGAAAAATCTTGGTTCCAACTCGGAACGTGATTGGCCGGTGTAGCCAAGAATAACCACGACTTACAGGTGCCAGTATGCGCCACTGGCCCAGTCTGCACTGTGTGGCATATTTGCCGACATATAACAGAGACTGAAACATTGCTCACACTTGTTTGAGGTGGTCATTTTGACTGCAATCTTGTTTTAGGTTGGCACTTTGTTTTTGAATATTGTCTGCTTTTCGAATGCGTATCTGTGCTGCAGTAGAACGCCTTAGCCTCACAGCAAACATTTTGGTCTATAAGCTGTCACTGCCGTCTTCCCAGGAGAGTGGCTGTACTGGTTTCTTCTGGAAGTCCTGAGGGATGTACGGGACCAAGACATGAGAGCAGTTGGGGCAGCCTTTGAACCCAGGAGAGCACCCCACAGGTTCTGTGCTGGCGGCCCCAGAAACTCGATTCACTCCAGAGTAGAACCGAACAACTCCGGCAGGGGCAAACCGCGACCACACTGCACTGAGAGCAACGCAAAAAAATCCTGAACGAGCCAGCCAGGAGTCGAACCTAGAATCTTCTGATCCGTAGTCAGACGCGTTATCCATTGCGCCACTGGCCCAGTCCGCGTCAGCAGTGCTCAGTAGCATGCTGATTGGAAAGAGGACACGGCTCGGTGAACATGGAGTTCCTTTAACGCATGCTGTGCTTTGTTGTCATGGCAAGTTGTGGTGTCGATAGGATGCTCTTACACCGAGCATGTGACAGTCCCTCCCAAGAAAAACTGTGATCCAGGCTTTGAGACTTTCTCTTCCCCAGGAGGAGGTTGCAAAGGTTAGAGTTATTTTTGTCAGAGCAGCTGCAGCACACCTGGGTGGAGACCCACAGCTAGACTTGAGGGGAACCTTCAGCCGGACCTTCCCTTGTGGTCTAGTGGTTAGGATTCGACGCTCTCACCACCGCGGCCCGGGTCCGATTCCCGGTCAGGGAACTTCCTTTTCATCTCCATGCGGAACTTTGAGCAGTCGTGAACTCACTTGACGAAGGCAAGAAAGCGGCTCTGAGCGAAAAAGATGTCCTTCG